AAATTATCTGCATGGGAGCAAATGCTGCATATGCACATATGCGCGTCACACTTATGCTAAGTTGCTGATGCACTTTGCGTCCTATACAGCCAAATCCGTGGACTTGGGGTGTAGTCCCACTTGAATGGCCCCGCCCCAGTAGTCAGCGCCTTCGGATTCGTCAAGCATATAACGGCAGTAGTTGTTTGAGTTCCATCGGCCCTTCGTTGCCTTTCGAGAAGGCGGGGGAAGCAAACCCGCTTGCTGTTGTGCAGGTGACAAAGGCACAGCTGGCTACGGGGCTCGTTTTAGGGTTGGAGATGGCAACAAAGGAAACGGCCCGTTCGGTGTAGACATCAGGGTCATTCAAAGCTGTGTACGTTGGAGGTAACTTGCTATGGAAGAGAGAAAACCCGTCCTTCCAATACTGCACTGCCGCTTTGCAGTCCTTTTTGCCGGGGTAGTACGCGAACGTTCCTTCTAACTGCTCGGCTTCAGTGCTGTCGCCTCCTTTCTTCACACAATAGAATACAGAACAAGACAAGCCTGGCATCTCTTGCTACATGCGTTGTCATCTACAACACGTTTATTGCCCAAATAAACTGCCGACTGCAATGCGCTTGTAAAGAGACTAACCGTTGTTATTATTGTGCAGATTTCGTTCTATCAGTTGGTAGCGTTTGCAGCTTTCTGCAAAGCGGAGCTTTGTGGCAGTTTTTGCTTATCATTAGAAGCCTCCTCAAAACTGGGCGAATCCAGCTGCTCCCCTGACCTCGTTCATGTCGGCCAAACAATCAAGCGTCTCTAAAAGGAAGTTCCAACACTCTCAGGAATATTTTGAATAAAGGCAGCCCTCTATTTTGAAATAGGAAGTGTGTTGACCCTGAAACAACGAAAAGACAGGAACAAATTGCATACCTGCTATTCCAGTTGTGCTGGCATTTGCTGCCTCGTGTCCATAGAAAACGGACACAACTGCGAGCGCAATACGAACGAAATGAAGCATCATTGACCACTAAAATAATAACATATAAAGGGAGGGTTAAAGAAATATCCTCTGGAGAAGTTGGTGAGCACTCCTCGCTTGTCGATGAATGGGCGGAGGGCACCTGAGGGCTGTCCTCGCGGCTGCGTTTTCTGATTGCAAATTTTCCACTTCATGCGTTTTTTCAGGAAAATAGAAGCAATTTAACACTATATCTTGACTTTTGTGTAGCTGTGCTGCACATGGTTTCGCCCCTCGTGACCTATGCCACGTGCTGTAAAGGCTCTGTTGATCTGGTCACCCCATCACCATACAGATCTACAGCGACCACAGCACAGCCAAAGCACAGAGCATCTTCTTCAGAACCCTAACTATACCGGCCTGCCGTAAATCGCGTGTTTTTCTTGCATTGACGTACCAGGGAGTAAGAGGTGCCGCATAGCGCGAGTGCTCGTCTGGCGTGTGTTACATGCGAGCGGGCTAAATTGATGCATGGGTGAATGCCCACTAAAACATTTACTTTGCACATCCTTCTTTCTAGAGAAACTGTTAACAATGTCTTTGTGGGGAAACAAGCCCACGTTCGAATTTTTCCTGGTTAAGCGACGTGGACGCTCAATGCTCGAGAAGGCCAATCCACGATATTTCCCTTCACCAGTATATTTCAAATGTCTTCAGTGTGTTCAAATTAAACTCTTCCTTGACACTAAGGACATCAAGACATGCAACGGCACAAGGTTCCTCCTTCAAAGCGACCTCGGGAAGTGACCTAGTTTGATGAGGCTCAACCTGGCCAAGCAAACGGCCACGGTATACACGAGCGGTACGTCACCAATATCGCTAGACAGAGCTAAACATAGGCAAGGTATCGGCAGCAATCCCGAATATACGTAGCACTAGAGTCCATAAATACGTCTGGAGAATATTGAAAATGGAACCTAACAGCAAATGGCGTGCACCGCCAGCACCTGCTCGTGGCACCACTCTGCATGGACTAAAAATTGTTCATCTTCTGCAATCCTCAATGAAAACGATAAAACACCAAGAGAAACATCTCGTTCCCGTGCGCTGGGATATTAATTCGGTGAGAAGACCAAGAATAAACCTGCACACTGCCCGTGCCTGCATCCTGGACACAAGCTGAGAGCTTAAAAAAGAGTGTAAGCAAAAAGCATCATTATAAACCCCATTGTAAGGGACGGCCTAACCGGGGAAGCCCCGGTGCCCTCCTCAGTACCAACTATTGCATGAACAATCTTCTGCCATTCATCTTCCCTGCAAGCCCAACCATAGCACAATACACACGATCACTCAGCTCCATGAAAACAAGTGCTACATATAAAAGTCACACTCGCGCTAAGTTTCCGATGCACCGTAGGTCCCATACAGCCACGCCGGTGGTCTGGGGTTGTATTCTCACTTGAATGGCGCCGCTTCAGGAATCAGCGCCTTAGGACTTGTCAAACATATAACGGCAGTAATAGGTTCCTCTTCACCTTGAAGCCTTCTTAATGCCCGCCTTTCGTCGCTTCTTGACAGGGCCGAAGCAGCAAAGTCGCTTGCTGTTGTGCAGGTGACAAAGGCACAGCTAGCTACTGGGCTCGCCTGAGGGTTATAGAGGGCGACAAAAGAAACAGCCCTGTCAGTATAGACGTCAGGCTCGTTCGGAGCGGTGTACGTTGGGGGCAGCTTATTATTGAAGAGCGAAAAACCGTCCTTCCAATACTGCACTGCCGCTTTGCAGTCCTTGCTGCCGGGAAAGTACGCGAAGGTTCCCTCCAGTTTTTTTGCTTCAGCGCTGTCGCCTCCCTTCTTCACATAATAGAATGCAAAACAAGACAAGCCTGGCATTTCTTGCTAGATGCGCCATCATCTACAAGACTTTGATTGGCTAAATAAACCTCCGACTGCAATGTGCTTGTGAAGAGACTAACCGTCTTTATTATTGTGCAAATTTCGTTCCATAAATTTGTAGCGTTTACGGCAGTTTTTGGAGTGGTGTGTGGCGGCAGTTTTTGCGTATCATTAGATGGCTCCTTAAACTGGGCGAGTCCAGCTGCTGTCCTGACCTCGTTCATGTCGGCCAAGCAATCAAGCGTCTCTGAAAGGAATTTCCAACACATACAGGAATATTTTGAAAGAAGGAGGCTCCCACTCTGAAATATCAAGAGTCTTGCCTCTTAACGAGGAAAAGACAGGAGTAACTTGCATACCTGCTTCTCCAGTTGTGCTGGCACTTGCTGCTCCGTGTCCATAGAATACGGACACAACAGCGAGAGCAATACGAACGAAATGAAGCATCGTTGAGCACAGGAATAATATCATACAAAGAGAGGGCTGAAGGAATATCTTCTGGAGGACTTCTGGAGGAGTTGGTCTACATTGTTCTCGTCGACGAAAGGGTGCACGGCACCTGAGGGCCGCGCCCTCATCGCTGCGTTCCCTGATTGCATATTTTCCCCTTGATACCATTTCCAGGATCATTCAGGCTGTGTAACAATATATCTTGACTTTTTTGTAGCTGTGCTGCACATGGTGTGGCCACTCGTGATCTACGCCGCGTGCCGTAAAGGTTCTGTTGATCTGGGTCCCCCCGTCATCATATAGATCTACAATGGCCACAACGTGGCCAAAGCACAGAACATCTTCTTGCGAAACTTGACTATGCTGGCCTGCTTCAAGCTGTATACTGTTTTTTATTGGCGTACCGGAGAGTAAGAGACGCCGCATATTACGAGTGCCTGTCTACAGGATGCTACATACCAGCGGGTCAAATTGATGCATGCACAAAAGTTTCATCAAACATTTATTTCATACATTTTTTGTCTACAAACACTATAAAGAGTAATGTGGTGGGAAAATAAGCCCACTGTCAAATTTCTTCCCGTTAGGCGACGTCAGCAACCCATGGACGCTCAATGAGTGAGGAAACGCAGACAGGATGTATCTCTAAACGAGTAGATTCAAAATGTTACGACAGCGTTCCACTTAAGTGCTTCCTTAAGAATAAGGGCACAAAAACATGCGACGACTCAAGGCTGCGCCGTTAAAGTGACCTCAAGAAGTGACCCAGTGTCAACCTCACCAAAGAAACAGCCAAGATTTACGCCACCAGCGCATCACCAATATTACTAGATACACCTAAACATGTGCTAGGTATCGGCAGCAATCTCGAAGGCACTCGGGACTACAAGCCATGAACACGTCGGCAGAATATCGAAAGTGGAACCTGATAGCACATGGCGTGCATCGCCAGCACCTGCTCGTGGCGCATCTCTGCAGGGTCTAAAAATGGTTTATCTTCTGCACTCCTAAACACAGACAATAAAACACCAGAAGCCTCTTGCTCTCGTATGCTGGATTAGTAGCTTGGTGAGATAGCCAGCAATAAGCCCGTCTAGTGCGTGCACGCACACTGCCAAGAGGCTAAAGGCCTGAAAAAGACCGTACGCAAACAGCATCGTGATGAACCCAACTGCCAATGATGGCCTGAACGGGGAAACCCCGTTGCCCTCCTCAGTAGG